ACATGGAAACAACCTAGATGACCTTCAACTGAAGAATGGATAAACAAAATGTGGTACATATACACAATGGAATACTACTCAGCAGAGAAAAACAATGACATCATGAGGTTTGCAGACAAATGGATGGATCTAGAAAAAATCATCCTGAGTGAGGTAACCCAGACTCAGAAAGACAAACATGGTATGTACTCACTCATAGGAGGATACTAGATGTGGAACAAGGATGACTGGACTGCTACTCACATCACCAGGGAGGCTACCTGGAAAACAGGGCCCCAAGAAAGACACGGGGATCGCCCAATGACAAAGAAATGGAATGAGATCTACATGAACAGCCTGGACATGAGTGGGGGTAGTGAAGAGCAAGGGTGGAGGGAAAGAGAGCTTGGGGGAGCGGGAGATCCCAGCTGGATCAACAACAGAGAGGGAGAACAAGGAATAGGAGACCATGGTAAATGAAGACCACATGAGAATAGGAAGAAGCAAAGTGCTAGAGAGGCCCACAGAAATCCACAAAGATACCCCCACAACAGACTGCTGGCAATGGTCGAGAGACAGCCCGAACTGACCTCCTCTGGTGATGGGATGGCCAAGCACCCTAATTGTCGTGCTAGAAACCCCATCCAACTACTGAGGGATCTGGATGCAGAGATCCATGGCTAGGCCCCGGGTGGAGCTCCGGGAGTCCAATTAGCGAGAATGAGGAGGGTTTATATGAGCGAGAATTGTTGAGACCAAAGTTGGATAAAGCACAGGGACAAATAGCCAAATGAATGGAAACACATGAACTATGAACCAATGACTGAGGGGTCACCAACTGGATCAGGCCCTCTGAATGGGTGAGACAGTTGATTGGCTTGATCTGTTTGGGAGACATCCAGGCAGTGGGACCAGGTCCTGTGCTCATTGCATGAGTTGGCTGTTTGAAACCTGGGGCCTATGCAGGATCGCTTGGCTCGACCTGGGAGGAGGGGACTGAACCTACCTGGACTGAGTCTACCAGGTTGATCTCAGTCCCCAGGGGAGGCTTTGCCCTGGAGGAGGTGGGAATGGGGGTGGGCTGGGGGGAAGGTGAGGGGGGCGGGAGGGGGGAGAACAAGGGAATCCATGGCTGATATGTAGAACTGAACTGTATTGCAAAATAAAAATCAAAAAAAATTAAAAAAAATATTCAGGGTTTAGAAACAAAAGTGTAGGATTTGAACAATTGGTGGTGGTAAGTGGGTGTCTCTAAGGGGCAGAAAATGGGGGGAGGTCCTGGGGTAAACAAAGGATGTCAGCAAACTCTCCATCAAAGAGGTCTTTCACTAACTGTTTCTTTCTCATGCAGCAATAAGGATCACCATGCTCCCCCTGGCATCTTCCCAGGCTCTCACTGAAAGTGCCCTAAGCAGCCTTTAATAAATCCCTGAAGAATGTGGTCTTCTGAATGCCAATAGTTTACTCTCTCCTGTGCCCTCTCTGGATGCTGAGCTCTTTGAATATGCTTCAGACAATCATCCCTCCTGTCTGACATGATGTTTGGCAAACAACAAGGGAATTTTATTTGCTTGCTTGTTTTTCTCATATAAGTTACAAATTTAGTTGATAAGTTACAATGGACTTAATAAAATTCAGTAAATATATACTTGAGTGCAAAAAAATGCAACATAATTCAGAAAAGAATTCAAAGTGAAAAACAAGACAGAAGTGATTTCCATTTTCTTCTACACTCCAACTTCTTTCCTTTTAACCACAGGAATAGCAGAATTATGGGACCACCTTCCTTCAATGTAAGAAAAAAGAAAAGAAAATATGGAAGGCCATGGGCTGAAAAGAAATTTAGATGCAGTTGAGTAACCTAGCTTTATTTTCTAAGTTAACAAATGTTTTAATGCTTCCCTCTTCCAACAAGGCAACAATAGGGTGGAGCACCCAACGAGGCCAATGCAATCTAGCTATTAGGCCCGAGGATAAAGTAGCAGCCAGTGCACATACCCAATACCTAGGGAAGGATGTCTGTAGCACAAATCTTAAAAGTTCTTATTAATAAAAAACAAACCCAGAACCAGGTATTGGGGTGAACATTGAATGATCAGAGAAGCAGAACAAAGCCACAGCCACCTCACCTTGCCAAATCCTCAGGTGATCCTGTTTCCTCAGACTGGAAGCCTCTGAGTCCTCATCCAAATGAATCTCAGCTGAACTGTGCTGCTCAAAAGCCTAAAATCTTAACCAGGCTAGTTCCTGGTCCTCACACCTTATATACCTTTCTGCTTTCTGCCATCACTTCCTGAGATTAAAGGCGTGAGTCACCATGCCTGACTGTTTCCAGTGTGGCTTTGAACTCACAGAGATCCAGAAGTATCTCTGCCTCCTGAATGCTAGGATTAAAGGAATGTGCTACCACTGCCTAACCTCTATGTTTAATATTATGGCTGTTCTGTTCTCTGACCCCCAGATAAGTTTATTGGGGTGCACAATATATCAACCACAAATGTCCCATCTAAAGAACATTAGGTTAGACTTAACTCTGTCTGCCTTGTTGAGGCCTAGCAAAAAATGAGAATGCAAAATGCTGCATGGTCTGTACCAACAGGGCAACCTGGTCTGGATAAGAGGTGATGGAAATTTTCCTTATTCTAGAGTCTTTAGCAGTCAGTTTGCTAAAAGTGATGGAGAAGAGAAAGGTAACAATACATTTATTTCTGGTGATTTCTCTTGTGGGAATAGGCCCATGGCATCAAGGCATATTCTTGTATCCTACCCATTCTTGGATGATGGACAGTGAACCCAGCCATAAGCAAAATGGCCCACCTAGACCCTTTTCTTCACTCACATAATCAGTGCATTGCCAGACACTGTGGATTCTTTTTTTTTTTTTTTTTTGGTTTTTCGAGGTGGATTCTTTTTGAACTGTACCTTGGAGGGCGTGGTCCTGAGGGACCAGATACTGGAAGGCTACCTCTGCTTCCATGAGTGAAGGGAAAAGGCACCATGAAGACTCTGGTGAAGGATGGTTAAGGCACCATATAACACTGACTTTATAACTCAGATTTCCCTATCACTCTGAGACCTCTGTTTACCACCACCACTACTACCACCACTCCCTGCCCGGGCCACCCTCCGGCCTCTGTTCCAAATTTGGAACCACTCATCTCCACTAGACCAAGTCCTCAGTTATCTTCTTTCTCATTGTTTCCCTGTATATATTCCCCCATGCTATCAATAAGCCACCCACTGCACAAAACATCCCCAACCTAATTGGCTACCTTGAATAGGATACATATGTAAAAAATCTGCTTCCCAGTGTTCTGGCCGTGTGCCCAAGGCACCCAGACACACTGTAGACCAAACCACCATCCAGTATGTCCACACAAGCCCGAAAAAGGATGCTCTCTGTATCCTGGTGCACTGGATCCTCCAGATTCTGTCAAGAAATCTCCACTCAGGCCACAGGTATGAGGCACCTATAAGGTAGGTAGGAGTACATTGTCTGTGGCTCCTGGCTCTCCATCACCAACAGGAGCAACAATGACTTTGTGACCCCAGAATATCCTCTTTGTGGTGGTATTGTGTTCCCCAAAATATTGTGCACCCTAATAAACTTATCTGGGGTCAGAGACAGAAAAGCCACTAGATACAAAGGCTAGAAAATGGTGGCAGTCACACCTTTAATCCTAGCACTCCAGAGACAGAAATCCCTCTGGATCTCTGTGAGTTCAAGGCCACATTGGAAACAGCCAGGCATGGTGACTCACGCCTTTAATCCCAGAAAGTGAGCCTTTAATCCCAGGGAGTGGTGGTAGAAAGCAGAAAGGTATATAAGGCGTGAGGACCAGAAACCAGAAGCATTTGGCTGGTTAAGCTTTTAGGTTTTGAGCAGCACAGTTCAGCTGAGAGCCATTCAGATATGAGGACACAGAGGCTTCCAGTCTGAGGAAACAGGATCAGCTGAGAAGTTGGCCAGGTGAGGTTAGCTGTGGCTTGTTCTGTCTCTCTGACCTTTCAGTGTTCATCCCAATACCTGGCTCAGGTTTGATCTTATTAATAAGAACTTCTAAGGTTCCTGCTACACCTCTTCCTTCATCCCCAACTGCATCAGCAGCAGCAGCAGCATCTTGATCTTCAGCCTGCATGGTTGCTCACCCTTCTTACACACCTAACAGGAACCCACAGTCCCTCACCACCTGAACGCCTCCAAGCAGGAAACACAACTGAGCAGATAACCCGCCCCCTCCCCCCCCCCAGGAGGGAAACACAGGAGAAGCTCTACCCCTGAAAGCACTCCTGGCTTCACTGAGAGTGTAAATACAACTCTTTCACATGATAAAGGGCGAGCTTGTGTGCTGGGCTCCAAACAGGCTGCTGCTATGACAGATGGTTTCTATAAGCCCACCCTGTTTGTGGATCACAGTAATCAAGGGCTGTGATGAGCTTACTCTTTCAGTCACACTAATCAGTATCACTAGGCCATGCCCAGCTGAAGAGCACTGAATTGCGTATAAGGGTGTTGTGGGTCCAGGCAGAACCATCATAGCAGGGTCCTGACATGTCAGGGTGTTCGGGACACTGGTCAGTCAACTTGCACTCTGAATATCCAGGTAGCACCACCCACCCACTCCTGCTGCTGGGCTGAGCTTCCCTGGCAGCTAGCTTGCTGGGATCAGTGCCGCTCATGGGTGGGGCAGTTTGGAGGAAACCTATATTGGAGAGTCCCATATATCCCCCCAAGGAAGGAGCTGTGTGGGAGAGCTGTACTTTGTGGGCTCTCAGAGACGCACTCCCACCCCCACCGGCCCCTGCCGCGGGGCGTGCCCACTCACGCAAATCTGAACAGAACAGAACGCTAGTTTAGCGGGGAACCAATCCTCGCGAGATCTTGTTTGCACATGCGCAGTGGGCCTCACGTGCTGTTCTCTGTATAAACCCGCTGCACTTGGCACAAGAGCTTCCTTTTCTCGGCCGAGTGTGAGTGGTCCGGTTGCGTTAGTGGCAGGGGTTGGGGTGCCAGGGTAGTCATGCAGGACCCTGATGGGGGCATAGATAGGAGAGCAGGGGCTGAAGAAGGCGAGGATGGGCAGCAGAGTCCTCAAGCACCCGAAGCCCAGGCTAGCTCTCAAAGTTCGGCGACCGAAGGTGACCATGGCAGCTCCCCTCAGAGTGGCCCACAAGATTCCAGTAGCCCAGCTGCTCCTGGTAGCCAGGCTGCTCCAGGCAGCCCCAGCCCAGGGAGTCCTGTAGGGTCCGGTGCAGCCGCTGAAGAGGCGGCTGTCGTTCCCCACAGCGAGCAGCCACCACTTGTCCCTGGACCCAGCGGAGATACTGCATCAACAACTGGAAATCGACTCCTGGAGTTGTATCCTTTCCTAAGAGACCCTTTCCTAAGAGTGGCAGGGGCCACTGGATCATAGGGAGGCTAAAACTTCCGTGGAAGGCTTTCGGGGCACGGTGCACAGATGACTAGGGAAAGGGCAGATGGGTGTAGTGTGGGCAGTCCAGTGCAGCAGTTGACATCCTGACAGGACAAGGAGACTCCTTGCCTTAGAGGGCTGAAGTGTATAGAAGAAGACCCGAATCACTGGGGAGGCAGGAGGTGATTGGACTCGGGTGGCAGGAGTGCTCATTGCCAGGCAGGCCTAGGGAAGTGTATCCAGGCAAAGGGAAACTAAGTAGTGGATGGTACCTTAACCTTATCTCCTCCCAGCTCTGTAACAGTGCCTTTCAGGTCTGCAGTGGAGGCAGACATGGCCCGCAGATCCCTGGTCTCCAATTCCCGTCGCCAGCAAGTGATGGTTCAGCAGGAGCTCACAGTGAATGACAGTATCTTGTCTGTGTCAGTATTCCTAAAGTCTGGAGTAGGGGTGCCTCAGGGTTGGGAGGCAGTGTGCATTCTAGGGGTGCCCTAATGGAAACACTGGTGGACTTAATGTAAGCAGGAAGGCACGGTGTGGTGGACCTGAACAGGTCCCTCATCATTTCCCTGACAGTGCTTCTTTCTCTCAATTTCAGTAGGTGGACTACTGAAGACCCTGTCCTCTTCAGAATTTCCATCAACACTTTCCTTGACCAGCTCTCCCTGGTGATGAGAAACATTCAGCGCCTGGAGTTTGTTGCTGTTGTCAAACGAGGACGAAGAAGAAGCCGTGAATCCTAACGTGTTGCCAGATACAAGAAAAGTCAGAGGCGTTTCATGTTTTGAGTAATTGTTATTTTGCCCATAAAGGTTCAGTGTTTCAATACTGTGTGCCACATATTAGTCTCATGGTAGGATTGTTTCCCAGTTGCTGAAGGAGTGGGTGTTTAAATGTTATTGGACAAAATAAAAATTAGCAAATATTTTTCATCTGACTTTACTTTTGACTATGGCAAAAACCGCCAGATTTTCTCATCTGTGTGCTTTTGTGGAGGAGAAGTTCTGGGATTTAAATGTTTGAGCAGTCCAAAGTAATTTAAGACAATTTAGAATATGGAAGGAGAAGTGAATTACTTAAATATATTCAGAGTATTTAATTGATCTGATTTTTTTCTTTAATTTTAACATGCAATGTAGTTTATTTCCTTGTGGCAATATCATACATACTTTTTTATTGCTCTCTTTCCTTCTCTCCCTCTGTTTTCATAGCTCTTCCCACTTTAACCCTATCATATCCTGTATTCCTCTGCCTTTTATTTTCATATCATATATATTCATTCACCCTTCCCACTCCTCTTCCTTAAAGCTTTTTTCACTTCTCTGGCCTCTTTCTACTTTACTAAGTCCCACGTAAATATATCTATATAAAAAATTAGGTAATTTTTTAATATTGAACATGTTGGGTTTTTGTTTCTGAGCCTTGATTTTCTTCACTTAATATATTTTACAGCTCCATTCATTTTCTTGCAAATTGGATGATTTCATTTTTAATGGGTTAATAAAATTCTATATGTATATGAGCTTTAATTATATTATCTGTACATTAGTTGATAGACAACTAGACTGATTCCAATTTTTAGCTATTGTAAAAGAATTGCAGATAACAAGAATAACATGGGCAAGTGCCTTTGTAAGTAGGATGTAGAATCTGTTAGGTTTTTGTTCAGGGGTGCTATATCAGAGTCTTAAGGTAGTTGTATTTTTACCTTTTTGAGAAAACTGCACACTAGTGTGCTAATATTCAGTAAGATTTCCCCTTTCCCCACATCTTCACCAGCATCTGTTATCATTTGTTCTCTTGGTAACAGCCATTCTGTTTGTTTGTTTGTTTATTTGTTTGTTTGTTTGTTTGGGTTTTGGTTTGGTTTGGTTTTTGGTTGGTTAGTTGGTTGGTTGGTTTGGTTTGTTCATTTTTCCCTGTGTAGTCCAAGTTGTCCTGAAACTCACTCTGTAGATGAGGCTGGCCTCAAACTCACAGATATCCTCCTGTCTCTGCCTCCCAAGTGCTAGGATTAAAGGTATGTGCCACCACCGTCTGGTGATAATAGCCATTTTAACTGGGCTCATGGGACAGACTCTCAGTGCAGTTTTAATTTGTTTCCCTGGTGGTGATGATATTGGATACATTTTTAAATATTTTTTGGTCATTTTATTTTTTTTTCTCTTTATAACTCTCTATCCAGCTCCTTAACCCATCCTGAAATTTTTACTTATTTCACAATTATATGTAAATGCATATGTTACATAGAAAATATATTTTGATCATATTGTTCTGTTACCTCCTTCCCCCTCCTACTTTCATGTCATACACGTGTGTGTGTGTGTGTGTGTGTGTGTGTGTGTGTGTGTGTGTGTGTGTGAGAGAGAGAGAGAGAGAGAGAGAGAGAGAGAGAGAGAGAGAGAGAGAGAGAGACTTAATTTAATTAGGGTTGTTTGCCTGAGCATGGGTTATTTATTTGAGCAAGGGCAACTTAATATAACCTTTACCTCTGACAAATATGACTCATCCTCCCTCAGCAACCTTTAACTGCCTGTAGCTCCTCAGGAAAATGTGGGTCCATACAAGTCTCTCACATGTCTATGATAGAATGTTTCTGATCTCAGTCTTCTGCAGGTAACTGCTTCTGCTGTGAGTTCATGGATGCATCAGATATGTCATGCACAGAAGACAGCATTTCACAGCACTCCTTCCCATCCTCCTAGCCCATTTCTTGGTTGGGTTGTTTGTTTTCTTGTTAGTTTTTTTTTTTTTTTTTGGGGGGGGGGGTTTAGTTCTTTGTATATTCTAGATATTAATCCTCTGTCAGATGTGTAGTTCAAAAATATTTTCTCCTATTCTGTAAGCTAACTCTTCTCTCATTTGACTTTCTTTTGCTATATGGAAGCTTTTTAATTTTGAGAGGTCCTATCTGTCAATAGTTAGCCTCATTTCCTGATCATTTGGGGGTCTATTCAGAAAGCCCTTACCTGTGCCAGTATCCTTCCCTAACTCAGAACAGTTTGAAAAGTGTTGATATTAGTTTTTCTTTGACGATCTGGTAGAAGTCAGCAGTGATGCCATCTTGGCATGAATTTTTTTAGTCTTGAGGTTTTTTTAATTATTAATGCTTCTTCAATCTTACAACTTGTCATAGATTTGTTTAAATTACTTGTCTCATCTTGGTTTAATTTTAGTAGATCATATACATCTAGAAATTCATCCATTTATTTTAGATTTACCAATTTGGTGAAGCATGTGTTTTTAAGGTTTAGCCTAGTGATCTGAATTTCATTAGTATTTGTCAAAATAGCTCCCTTTTCATCTCTAATTTTTTAAATAAATCTTTTATTGTTATTTTACTTATTTCTGTAGTGTGTATGATGTGTATGTGGACAACTTTGTGGAGTTTATTCTCTCTTTCTACCTTTACATGAATTACAAGTATCAAACTCAATGTCAGGTTTGTGAAACAAGGGTTTTAACTCAATAAGCCATCTTGCCCCCCTTTGCCCTGATCTTGATTATTTCTTTCCTTTCCATCTACTGATTTTAGAGTTAGCCTGTTCTTTTTCCAAGGACCATATCATGAAGTTGTTTATTTGTGATCTCCAATTTTACAGAAAGGAGGACAGGGAATTGTGCTCATTCATGTGTGGAGGCCGGAGGTTGTTATCAGGTGTCTTTCTCTATCATTCCCCACCCTATTTAGGGGAAACAGGATTTCACTGAACATAGAGCTTGCCAATTTAGCTAGAATTCCTGACTAGCAAGCTCCCAGAGTCCTCCTATCATTGTCTTCACAGCTCTGAAATTAGAGCATGGACCACTGCACCTGGCTCTTTTTTTCCCACAGGTGCTAGAGCCACAAACTCAGGTCCTCAGGCTCCCATAGCAAGCACTTTACCAACTAAGCTATTTACCCAGCCCTGAGATTCCTCAGCTTTCTTAATATAGGCCCTAGACCTATAAACTCACTTCTTAGGACTACTTTCATCCTATCCCCTGGGTTTTAGAATACTGTTTTCATTCATTTCTAGTAATTTTTTGAATTCCTTGATTTCTTCAAAGGACTAGTCATCATACAATGGTGTGTTGTTTAGGCTGGGATTGGTGGCACATACCTGTAATCCTATATCTTAAGAGTTAAAAGCAGAAAGATCAGGGGTTGAAGGACAGCCTCAGCTACATAATGAGTTAGGGGTTATTATGGACTGCATGAGACCCTGCTTCAAAAAAAAATCAGTGTGTTATTTAATCTCTATGAGTTTGTGTATGTTCTATAGTTTCTCTTGCTGTTGATTTGTAATCTTACTCCATTGTGATCAGCTAGAACATAAGAAATTATCGCAATTTTCCCATATTTTATAAGACATGTTTTTTTTTTTGTCCGCGTATATGATTTATTTTAGAGAAAGTCCATGGGTTGCTGAAAAGAATGTGTACTCTGAAGTGTTTGGATGGGTTGGGTTTTTTTAGATGTCTTTTAAGTCCATTTGAGCTATGACATCATTTACCTTCAATGTTTCTGTTTACTTTCTGTCCAGATGACCTGCCTACTGATGAGAATAGGGTGTTGAAGTTACCCACTATTATTGTGGTGCTGAGATTAATCTGTGGCTTTACCTACAGTAGTGTTTGTACTGTGAAATTGTATACAATTTACAACAATATTTGGTGCATATACATTTTGAATTGTAATATCCTCTTGCCAGACTGTTCTTACAATCAGTGTCAAGTGATCTCCTTTGTATCTTCTTACTGGTTTTGGCTTAAACCCTATTTTGTCAGCTATTAGAATTTCTACTTGTTTCCTAATAGTGTTTGCATGAAATTCATTTTTTTCATCCTTTTACCCTAAAGAAGTATCTGTCTTTTATGGTGATGTATGTTTCTTGGAGACAACAAATAGGTGGACACTGGCTTTTTTTTTTTGACACTGGCTTTTAATCCAGTCTAATAGTCTGTCTTTTGGTGGAGTAATTGAGATCATTAACTTATTGTTGAAACGTGCTTATTATTACCTGCCACTTTGTTGATTTTGTAATGCTTTCTATTTTTTCCTACTCCTCTCATCCTTATCTGTTATTCAAATGTTTGTTCTTCCCTGTAGCCTCATGTATGTGTTTGTCTATCTCTTCAGTCTGAAGAACTCCTTCAAGTATCTTGTGGAGAGAAAGCTAGTCTAATAGTCATGAATTCCTTAAGTCTGATTTTTATCATGGAAAGTTTTCCTTTTTCATTCAATTATGACAGATGGCTTTTCTTGGTATAGTAGTCTGGTTTGGCAAATGTTGTCTTTCAAAACATGAAAAATATCATACCAAGCTCTCTGGATTTTAAAGTTTTTGTTTAGAAATTTGCAGCTACTCTGACGAGCCTTCCTTTATAGATGACTTGTTACTTCTCTCTTGCTGCTTTCAATATTTTCCTTTGTTCTGTATATTTAGTGGCTTAATTAGAATATGAGGAAGGAAAATTCTCTGGTCTTGTCTATTTGGCGTTAGAAATGCTTCTATACCTGGATTGACAACTTTCTAATTTAGGAAATTTTTTCTGTTATTTCGTTGAAAATGTTTTATATGCCTTTAGAATGGAATTCTTCATCTTTTGATCCTATGAATCTTAAAGTTGGTCTTTTCATAATATCCAGAATATCTTGGAAGTTGTATTTATCTTCTTAGTAATTTTTCTTTTTTAACATAATTTCTTTATTGATTCTTTGGGAATTTCACATCATGCACCCCAATTCTGCTCATTTCCC